AGAATAAATATCTCTTCTCTATTATAATTTTAATTTATTTTTGAATACGATAGTTGCATTAATTTTTATTTTGAAAAAGAAAAATGTGTGTAAAACTATAAGGGCTAAACGACCATTATAATGCAGTTTTACAAACAAAATACTAAAATGGGGCTGTTTTGAAACATATTACACCGTTGGGGCTATTTTACTGGGTGTCGCTATGGGCCATAGCGACACCCATGACATGTGGCAATTTTGGGTCTGCTTCTAAGCCATGAACACCATATTAAAGGAGGCGCTGTAGCTGGTAGAAACCCTTAGAAAGTCGCTATAGGCTACAGCTAATTAACTTGGCTTAAAAAAAATAATTAAAAAACGAAATAAAAAACCAAAACTTGAGGCGCTGTGGCTCCTAGCGGAACAAAGGCGCTATGAGTCAGAGCGCCTCTTTTTAATTATTTATAATAATTGTTAAATATAAAAATTGATATATGAATTATAAAAAATTTTCCAAAAAAAGCGAAAAAAATAGCTGAAATAAGAAAAATATAAATTTTTAAAAATAAGTAATATAATGTTAAAAAAGATTTTAAAAACGAAAAAAATATACAAACTGGGGCGCTGTAGACCCCAGCGCCTGTTTGAAATTATTTAAAATATTTTATAAAAATAAGAATTGATAAATTAATTAAAAAAAATTCGGATAAAAAAGCGGAAAAAAGAACTAAAATAAGAAAAAATAACATTTAAAAAAAAAGTAATGTAATGTGGAAAAAAATAATAAAAACAAAAAAAACAAAATATAAAAACGGGGCGCTGGGGCTTGTAGTGCCTTATAGGCGCTGTGGCGGATAGCGCCTCCTTTAAAGTAACCGCAGGCTCCACCAATGACAACGTGACACGTGGCCCATCCTTTTCAAATTAACCGCAGGCGTGGCCAATAGGAAGGTGACACGTGTGTCAATTTAGGTAAAAATTTTTAATTTTACACTTATAAAATGAAACAGATGGTCCCCTCCCCCACTTTCACTTTCACCTTCCTTCTTCTTCGGGTAAGTTTCTCTCCTCTAATTTTTTCGTTTTCATAATTTTATTTTATTAAATATTTTAAACTTAAGATGAAATTTGTTGTGAATCATTCTCTTTAATAAATCCAAAGTTAAACCTCACTTAATATACATCCCTTTTTTTGGTCCCTCAAATGTTACATCTTCTGGACTTTCATACATCCTTCCAGTGTAAATATAAGCTATAATTTGATCCATAATATCTGAAATAAAATTCAAATATTAGTACAAATACATACAACTTATTTAAACTACAATAAATTTCAATCATAAATAAGAATTTAAAACTCAACTAAACAGGAACAAAGAACCAATCAGACTGATTTAGTCGATAAATAACAAATACAGTAACAAAAACAACAAATGAAGTAGAGATATCGATGTGATTTACCAGAACACAGGGGGGTATATATACTGCAACAGTCTACATCACCTATAGCGACATCTACATAAATTATTTAATAAAAATTTTAAAAAACTGAAGTCGCTATGGGCCATAGCTCCAGTTTTAAAAATATATCTAATATTTTTTAAATATAATTTTTGTTTAGAAATTTATAAAAAAATAACGGATAAAAGGGAAAAAAAGGATTGAAATAAGAAAAAATTGTAAATTTTAAAAAATAAGTAATATAATATAAAAAATAATTTAAAAACGAAAAAAATAAAAATACCCAACAACATTTCTTCAAGACACAATGCCTGCAAGGTAAAATTTATTAAAATAAAGTATTACTTAGTTGGACATAAGAATTTCATATAAAAAAAATCATATTGTTTCTGTTTCACACATCATAAATTACCACTTTTTTAACTAGTCTTTTTCTAGCACCAAATCTTCGTGGGTCTGGTTTGGAATCCAACATCAGTAGTTTTGCCTCCTTTACATCAATGACCAATAGAAACCAGTGCGAATTCATATCATTTAGTGGAACAAATATCTAAATTTCAAACAACATATTCATCAATACATTGTTACCAAGTAAAAAAGGTGGTTAGCTTGAAATAAACATTATTAAATACACGACTTCACCTTCAAAATGTAGTCCATCTTCCCCGTGAAGTCCTTTTGATAATAACTCATTAGAGTGTGTGGTGGTGTAGTCGAAGCCATGACATATTGCTATGAAAATTTAAAAAATAAAAAAAGGTTTTAAGTTATTCAATGGTAGTTATGTTTGATTCAGATATGGACAAATTAATACTTGTTTGAAAAGGTTTTTACCGCAAAGGTTGTTGGGAAGTACCAACTCCACTCAGGCGCTATGGGCCACAGCGCCTGTGTTAAAAAAATACATTTTATTTATTTTAAAATTACGTTTTTTTAAAACTTAATTTTCTTTTTATAATTATATAATAAATAGTTCACTTTATTATATTTATTTTACATTATTATTATTTTCCTTTTTTTTTATTTTTTTGTTTACCCAGTGTTGTTATGGGCTACATAATTTTTTTAAGCCCATCAGCTGTGGTGGACCAGCTGATAGCGACACTGATCCAACCCAACCAAGCAAAAAAAAAAAAAAACACGTGTCATGGATGTCGCTATGGGCCATAGCGACACCCAGTAAAAAAGCCCTAAAGGTGTAAAATATTTTAAAACAGCCCCATTTTAGTAATAAGTTTCTAAAAGCGCACCACAGTGGTCGTTTAGCCAACTATAAGAGAGTTGGATTGGAGTTGACAGATAGTTGTGAAAAAGTAGTTAGAAAGTAAAAAGATTAAAAAATAGTGATATGTTTAGGAAAAAGGTAAAGAAAAGTAAGTTAGGAGAGAAATGAATATAAATAGGGTGTTAGTTTGATATAAAAGAAATGGGCAAGTGTATGCTTGGCTTGGATTAGGGAGTCAGAGGCCAGAGCCGTGACAGCGGAGTGTGTTGCTGAAAAAGTTAATAATGCGTTGAGAGAGAAGATGAATTGCGATGATTCTAAGTTACCTATTTCAGCATGTAATTCCATTATTGGAATCACATTCTGACCGATAAAACTTTCTATCATGCATTGTACATCATCATCGTCACTCAATTCCAATGAAGAATATCTGTTCTCATCATGTTGTGAAACAACAAATCTGTAAGTTACAGATAATATAACTTGATTTGACTTAAGATGAAATTTGTTGTGAATCATTCTCTTTAATAAATCCAAAGTTAAACCTCACTTAATATACATCCCTTTTTTTGGTCCCTCAAATGTTACATCTTCTGGACTTTCATACATCCTTCCAGTGTAAATATAAGCTATAATTTGATCCATAATATCTGAAATAAAATTCAAATATTAGTACAAATACATACAACTTATTTAAACTACAATAAATTTCAATCATAAATAAGAATTTAAAACTCAACTAAACAGGAACAAAGAACCAATCAGACTGATTTAGTCGATAAATAACAAATACAGTAACAAAAACAACAAATGAAGTAGAGATATCGATGTGATTTA